GAATACATGCAACACGGAAGAGCTCACGGGGAGGAAATGAGACATGGAGAGGCATCTGTGGTCAGAAAGGGGAACCCCGAGGTCGAAACCACCAGGTAACCGGCAGAACCAAAACTAGGACCTCCAGTGACTGCACCACATTTAGCGGCCGAAAATCGTGCCACCACCATGTCACATTGCTCCCCCCCTCACCCCCCTCGGGAGACGTAAGGTGCCTCTCGATTCTCAGGGATGACTCTGGATTCTCAGGGATGACTCTCGATTCTCAGGGATGACTCTCGATTCTCAGGGATGACTCTGGATTCTCAGGGATGACTCTGGATTCTCAGGGATGACTCTCGATTCTCAGGCATGACTCTCGATTCTCACGCAGAGCAACTTGTGCAGACTGTCGCCCCCCCGCAAAGGCGACAGCAGCCCGTTAACCGCTAGACGCAGCCATACTAGCCGGTTGCCGGCGTGGACCTTCGTGAAAGCGCCCCGCCTCCTCCAGCTTTGATGAGCACCCAGAGTCATTACCGCCATTTGATTAGCGTTTTAATTGTGATAATAAAAAACAAACATATTCTCCCTGTGGCTCAGTACGAGGCACAGAGCACCTCCACACCGCCAGTTAATTACCGTTTAATCGAGGCGATGCATCCGCTGAGGGTGGACACGGTCATGTGACTTTTTTCCCAGAAACACCTCTGTCAAGGTGTAAGAAGAGTGTCCCCCACTCCTGAAAAAACACATTTTTTCCATTTTTAAAAGCTAAACAAATAAAATTGACAGGCAGAGTCTCCTGTAGCTTGCTGGGCCTGAACTCCAGGCCATCCCATTCAGCACCCCCCCCGGTCCCTCAAGTCCCACATGTACATCACTCACAAGGGGGCAAGACACCCCCCCCCCCTTGGCAGGAGAACAGGTGGAGGAGATAGGGAGAGGAGGAGACCGGAACGACCGGAAGGGGAGTCTACTTGCTATGTATCTCTGACTAATCAGGCGAGAACAGTAGTGAAGCTGGAATCAGCCATTGGCTGACGGCAGAGCACTGTACTTTAGCCCCAGTGCCATGTGAAAGCCCCCCCCCCCCCCCCCCCCCC